GGAAAGCCAATGTTGTTGTTGTTGTGTGACGGCAAGTCACCTGCAACTCAAAGGAACCCTGTGTACAACAGCTCTGATGCCTGTCCTGTCCTGAGTCAGTCTCCCTTGTCTCTGACACACCTATCCCCACTGCCCCAGTTACTGTGTCAATCCATCTCATCTGGGGTCTCCCTCTCCTACTCTGACCCTCCACCCTTCTGAGCATGACGTCCTTCTCCAAGGAATGGTCCCTCCTGGCCACGTGCCCAAGGAGCTTCAAAACCCTAGCCTCCAAGAAAAAACTTGGCTTCACCCTCTTCAAAACAGACCTATTTGTTTTCTTGGTGGTTCATGGTATGTTCAAGATTCTTCTCCAGCACAACTCAAAGGCATCAATTCTTTTGTCATCCTTAGTCACTGTCCAACTCTGTGATACACAGCAAGTAATTGTGAAGGCCATGGCCTAGATCAGGTGCACCTTAGTCTCTAGACTGACATTGTTGCTCCTCAGTACTCCTTTTGAGGAAAGCCAATATAGTATTTCTATTTTTTTCCTATAAGGTGGCCATGAGTGGGAACTGACTTGACAGCAGAAAGGTTTTTTGGTTTTGTATTTTAATAATGACTGAGGAATCCTTGGTTGGTGGAAATGACTTATGCACTAAGCCATTAACCAGAAGTCTGGAGGTTTGGATCCACCCTGAGTTGTCATCAAAGATCAAGGCCTGGTGAGTTGCTTCTGGAAGACCAGCCTTTTGCCCTTTGCAGTGCAGGGCCCCTGGGTCCCTGACACACATGGAGTCATGAGCAGTCAGAATCGACTGGATGCCAAGTACAGCCTGAACTCTTACTAGAGGAACACCCACAACAACCCTCTGAGGAGGTTCTATTACCGTCCTCAGCTTAGGAATGAGGAAATGAAGAATAAAGGTGGCAAAACTTGCCCCAGTTTGCACGGAAGGAGCTTGGGGCCCGGCCCCAAGCGACTGTGTCCTCACGTACTCTGCAGGCCCCCGCCAGCCCTGCCACCAATCACCACAAACTCTGTTAGAGGCACCTAGGTGCCCAGTGACAGTGTGAGAAACTGTGGAAAGGGGCAATTTAGGGCCCACCCCCTCCCAAATCCTCCCTCGGGGCTGAGGAAGGGATGTGAAAAGCCCCCCACACGTGAGCAGCTCTCCCATGCATAAGCCACCTGTCTGTATGAGGTGGACTTGGGCTCTGGCTGAAAGAACCACTGAGAGCAGATCCAAGCCTGGGTCCCGCCTGGCTCCGTCACATGCCAGCTGTGTGGCCTTCCCTGGCAAGTTCACTCGGAACTCACCAGCCCGTACAAAACTCTGACATCACAGGGCCAGGTGGTGGGATGAGCCCGGGCACATGCCTGGTCACTGCCAAGGGATGGGTTCCCTGAGGGGAGTTTTCACAATGGGTCAGTGAGGCCAGTAATGTAATCTCCCACCAGAGGGAAACAGAAACGCAAAAGCTGTGGGTTATCCAGGTGGCAGAGACAGGAGCGGAAGCTGGGTCTCTGGACTCCCAGCCCAGTGCTCCCACCACTCACCTGAGCCCCCGTTCTGCACAATCCCCTCCTTTCTCTCGCCTCCCACCTCTGAAACTCTGTGGGCTGAGAGTCAACCAAATATGTGCAGGACCTGCTCCGAGCAGCCTGTATTTTCAGATACAGGTGCACAGGCAAATCCCAAAGCCACTGTGACCACCCGGGTTCAAGGAGAGAGGAGAGCAGGTGGGCGAGAGGGGTAGACAGGGAGATCAATGCGCAGGCACTGCTTGGACCTGGCCCACCCTGTATTATGAGCAGGAGAGTCACAGAGCAGGATACTAGCGGAACACACAACATCTGCAATGCGGCATTAGTCCACCCGGACACGTGGGGGTCCCCACAAGTAGGAACTCACTTGATTACAAATGGTGACTGGTTACAACATCCCCTGCTTCTCCCAAGAATAGCCAAGATAATGCAGAAAAGTCTCTGGTATACACTAAGTGCTCACTGAATGCAGGCTTTTGTTCCAGTTTGGAGTCCCTGCCAGTTTCCATTGTTGCTGTTGTTGTTATGTGCTGTCGAGTTGAGTATAACTCATAGCGACCCTATGAACAGCAGATCTGAACTCTGCTCTATCCTGGGTCATCGTCATCATCTCTGACACACTCGAGCCTGCTGCTACAGTCATTGCGTCAACCCACCTGGTTGAGGGTCTTCTCTTTTGCCTGATTCGAGTCATGATCTTTTCAGTCATTTGTTATGCATCTGAGAACTGGACAATGAATATGGATGACAGAAGAATTGAGGCCTCTGAATTTTCGTGTTGGAGAAGAGTGCAGAAGAAGAACTGATGCCTTTGAACTGACGAGTTGGAGAAGAGAGCTGAATAATCCCATGGGCAGCCAAAAGAACAGATAAGTCTTGGAGAAGGAACACCCATCTCACATATTTTGGGCAGGTTGCTAGCAGAGGCTATTCACTGGAGAGGGCCAACATGCTTGAGAAGGTGGAGGAATGCCTTGGGAAAGAGAGGGTGGCTTCCAAAGTAGAGAGAATAACCCTCACTTGGCACCCCCTGTATGCTAAGTACAGTCCTTGGTACAAATGCATATCATGTGTTACTAATCAAATTCACTCAATGGCTCCGCGGAACAAAGGCCTTCCTATCTGCCTCCTGAAAATCCTATGGAAGAGTTCTAATTAACACACATCCAATTTCCCAGTAGGAAGGGACTCGATAGCAACTGTTTGGCTTTCATTCATGTTTCTGGATTTCTGCATGTGACGGGCACTGTTGTGTTTGATGGATAAGCAGCATGACTGAATGAGATTCTTGACTTCCTCATGTTCATTCAAATCCTAGTCTTCCCAATGATCAGCTGGTGTGCTTCTGAGTGAGCAAACCTCTATTTTTTCATCTGTAAAATGGAATAATAGTATCTGTAGGGAGCTCTGGTTGTCTAGAGCTAAGAAGCTGTGCTGCAACCCACCAGCTGCTCTGTGGAAGAAGGATGGCTGGGCAATCTCCTCCCTTGAGATTAACTGCCTCTGAAAATCTGCTGAAGAGTCGGTCAGCTGTGGGTCAGTTCCTATGCGATAGTACACAAACAACAGAGAGACGTGGTCAGGAAATAAAAAGAGGAGACTAGAACATAGTGGGAACTCAAGGAATAGCCTCTCCTAACAACATGCCCAAGGTGTGTGAGACGAGGCTTTGCCATTTCTGCTTCCAAAGAGCATTCTATACACTTTTTCCAAGATAGATCTGTTTCTTCTCCCATAGGATATTCAGTACTCTTCTCCACCACCACAACTTACAGGCCAGTTCTTCCGTCACCCTTATTCATTGTCCAGCTCTCAGCAGTAGAGCAAGTGATCAAAAAGACCATGGCTTGAATTGGGTACACCTTCAGTCTTCAAACTGACATCATTGCTCCTGAGTAATCCGGAGAGGTCCTTAACAGCAGATTTGCCCAATATATTGTTGTTAGGTGCCCCTGAATCAAGAACGATCCGTATTGACCCTATGGACAACAGATCTGAGCCCTGTCCTATTCTGTGCCATCCTCACACTCCTGACACCCTAGACCCCACTGCGGCAGTCACTGTGTCAATCCAGTGGTTGAAGATCTTCCCCTCCTTCACCGATCCTCTGCCTTTTGAAGCGTCATGTCCTTTTCCAAGGAATAGCCTCTCCTAACAACATGCCCGAAGTATGTGAGGCAAAACTTTATCATCTTTGCCTCCAAGGAGCACTCTGGCCGCACTTTCTCCAAGACGTACTAGTACTTGTTTGTTCTTTTGACAGTCCATGGGATGTTCAGTGCTCTTCTCCAACACCATCGCTCAAAGGCATCAATTCTTCTTCTGTCATCCTAATTCATTCCAGCTCTCAGATGAATAGTAACTAATGAGAAAAACCTTGGCCTGAATCAGATGCCCCTTAGTCCTCAAACTGACATTCCTGCTTCTCAGTAAATTGCAGAGGTCCAACTGAAGACCAGAGCATTATATGTCTCCTGATCTCCTGACTGCGAGTAGCAAGGGTGCTGATTGGAGATCCAAATAAGATAAAATGTTAGACAATTTCAACCTCTTCTCCCCCTATCATGATGTTTACTGGTCCAGTGGTGAGGATATTTCTTTTCTTGACGTTGAGATGCAGTCTACAGTACAGGCTGCAGTCCTTGATCCTCTGCAGTGTTCCAAGTTCTCCTCACTTTCAGCAAGCAAGGTTGTGTCATCTGCATAATGCAGGCTGTTGATGAGTCTTCTACAGCAATAGGTGGGGTTGAAATTCCAAAGGCTGAATTCTTCCTCATCCACCAAACCGTTCCACATTCTTCCACCTGCAGCCAGGGGGCATGATGAAATTCCCCTGCTTTCTAGATGATTCTAACTCACGGTGGCCCCACCTGTGTCCAAGAAGAACAGCATGGGACAAAGACCTTGGATGTGGGTCCACTCTCTTTAATCTCTGATTCAGAAGAACAGACACGTCCCATGTCTGCAATAGAAGAGCACGTCTACACTGGTGGAATCCCTATGTGGCTCATATGGTTAAATACTGCAGGGAACTCTTGGGGTCTAGTGGGTAAGAGCCTCAGTGTCAAAGGAAGGTAGTTCAAATCCACCAGCTGCACCACAGGAGAAAGATGGACAACGTCTGCCCTTATAATTTATAACTCTGAAAACTCACTGTAGGGTCACCTTTAGTCAGCTGAGACTCAACAGCTTACACACACACACACACACACACACACAGAGAGAGAGAGAGAGAGAGAGAGAGACTTACTCACTCACTCACTCTCACCTCACTCAAACTTTCATCTCCACTCAGAAATGCCTCATAGGACACCCTTGGTAATTTGTTTCTGAGATCACGGCCTTGTGCATCCTATAAAGCAGCTCCACTCAGCACATACAGGGTCACCATGAGTCAGAAATTATGTGACAGAGATTAAGAACAAACCTTCAAAGGGGCAAGGCTCAGAAAGAGGGCCCCACCACTTACCCAGAGGCGATCAGGACCCGGGACTGGGCGATGGCCAGTCGCTGCAGGTTGGTACGGTTCAAGGTTGCCAGGGCCATCCTTCCAGTCTTGCTGTTGGCTCCTGGGGGGCTGGCAGGACAGGCTGCCATTGCCCCAGCTGGTGTGCTGGAGGGCTGTCGCCGGCTGGCCTGGGACGGGACAGTTTTCATGGGAGCCCGCATGGTGCCGATGCCATCCAGTGGTTTGGCTCCTGGGCCTGGCGGTGGGGGCAGCTTGACCACTCCAGTCGGGGGCATGTTCTTGCGGGCTGCTGGGGGCTGCAGGGGCCCAGTGCTTCCGTTGACCACAGCCGCCTTAACGCTCATCACCAGGACGCACTGTGGGCAGGAACAAGGTGGGGAAGGGGCCGAGGTGGCCGGGCTGGGGTTGGCTGGCCAGGACTGGGCCTTGGGCAAGGTTCCGGTGACCATAGGGTAGACGAGGTCAAGGCGTCGCCGGACACGGCGCTGGCGCTGGGTCTGCCGGTTGATCTGGCCCATGGTGTTGAAGTCAATGACGTAGCTGAAGCCGATGGAGGTGAGGTCGATCCAGGGGTGCTGCTTCTCATAGGCGTGTTGGATGGTGATGCCCACTTCCATGTCGTAAGGCGTCCAGGAACCATTGTCGTTCTCCCACTCCCACACCACACCCTTCCCGGGGGCTGAGGACGGGTCGTAGTAGTTGCGACGAACTGGACGGAGGGTCCCTGGCAGAGAGAGACAGAGGAGAGGGTCAGAGATAGCATGGAACAGCACGACCGGGTTACATCAACGGACAAACGTGACAACTGCCTGTTGGGATATCAGGTTTATGTGAGGTTCAAGCCTATCTTGAAGGCGTCAACAGGCAAACAAGGGTGGTGGTGCCGAGCAATTATACACAAAGCATGTGGCGTGGGCACCCAGGTAGGAGGAAGAGCATCTCTAGGTGTTAAGTCAAGGACCTTCATTTGTGGTCAAGTTCATTCACTTCCTATTGCTACTGAGTGAACCCCTTGGTGTCGAGGTGGAATATAATCTATACTCTGGGTTTTCTGGTTCCCCCCAGCGGTGCAGTGGCTAAAGCACTCAGTTGCCAACCAGAGGTCAGTGGTGCAAATCCACCAGTGGCTCTGTGGGAGAGTTCTGCAATTGGTTTCTGGAAAGATTTATGGCCTTGGAGACCCTTTGGGGCAACTCAACTCTGTTCCATGCAGTCACTGGGAGTCAGAATCAATCCAGTGGCAGCAGTTTGGAAATCTCTAAAGGAAAAGTCCCTGAGTGTTGACTACTGACCTAAAGGTTAGCAGTTCAGACCCACTCAGAGGCATCTCAGAAGACAAGTCTGGCAATCTGCTTCCCAAGGTCACAATCTTGAAGACCCCAGGGGGGCAGTTCCCTCTCTGTACACAAGGGGTTGTCATTAGTCAGAACTGACAGCGACCCAACAAGAACAATCTATGAAAGTAGATCACCAAGACTTTCTCCCGAGGTACCTCTGAGTATACACAAACCTCCAACCTTAACACCTTAATGTTAACAGCTGTGTGTTACCTGTTTGCACCACTCACAGACCCTGCCAGCTTCCCTTCCTTCTCCTGGGAAACAGGATAATAACTGTTTCACAAGATTTTTGTCAACATTAAAGGTGGCTGTGTGTTACCTGTTTGCAGCACCCACAGACCCTGCCAGCTTCCCTTTCTTCTTCTGGGAAACAGGATAATAACTGTTTCACAAGATTTTTGTCAACATTAAATGTGGCTTCCTTCTACATTCAATGGGTAGGTGCCAAAGTGGTTTGGCTATGCCAGCTACTGGATCTCACGTGTGTCTTGTAATTTGCATTGTTGTTGTTGTTGTTGTTGTGTGCTGTCGATTTAGAACCGACTCATAGCTGACCCTCCAATGGTTTTCAGAGGCAGTAAATCACATAGGAGTAGACTTCCCATCTCCTTCCGCTAAGACCTACACAGCCCTCGAAGCTGAATCATCTTTGTTGTGTGCCGTCCAGGTGATGGCAACTTACGGGGACCCCAAGTGACAGAACAGAGCTGCCCAATAGGGTTTCCAAGGCTGTAACCTTTCCGGAAGCAGCTTGCCAGGTCTTTTCTCCCACAGAACGGCTGGTGGTTCTCAACAGCGGACCTTCTGGTTAACAGTCATGTAAGTGTTTAAGCTTTGTACCGCCAGGCTCCTGGCACAACAAACCCCAAACCAAGTCACTGGCTGTTGTATCAATTGCAGCTCAAGTGCTCTTAAGGGCCCACCCCTTCTCCCCTGATCCTCTAAGTCGAACCTCCTTCCCCTTCACCGACACGCTGTCAGAAGAGCTAACGGGCCGATCTTGGAGAAAGTACAACTAGTGTGCTCGTTAGAGGCGAAGGTGGTGAGACTTCATCTCACATGCTTCGGGCATGTTGTCAGGAGGGGCCAGTAACTGGGGAAAGACATCATGCTGGGACAGGTGAAGGGTCGGTGAACGAGGAGACCCTCAACAAGATAGACTGACACTGTGACTGCCAAAACGGGCTTGAGCTGGGAGGAGACAGAGGATGGCACACAATGGATGGGGTGCTTCGATCTGCTGTCCACAGGGCCATTACGAACTGCAGTCAACTCCGGGGCACACACTAACAGCCATCCCCCCACCCCCAGCACTTCATAGGAAAGGTACACCAGGTGGTGGAAATCTCTGTTCCCAACCTGGAAGGTTCCCAAGAGGCCCTGGCAACTCCCAGCACCTTTATAGTGGGGTGGTAAAACAACTATAAACCCTAATAAAGATCGTGATAATGATTTCTCCAGCTGGCTTCTGAAAAATTCAGATTCTCTGGAAGAGAAGATTGTCCTGTTTTCACAGTCTCGTGGGGGTAGCTAAGAGGCCCTGGGGTGCCCCTTCACAGAGGGGAGTCCGGGAAATGAGGGAACACAGATCCTAGGGGCATGTGGGATAGAACCAGCAGGAGGAAGAACTGAGCCTCTTTCTCTCTGACCCATTGCAACCAGAGCACATTTCACGGGCATCTAAATCACAGCAAAAGCTGCCTGGCTCCAGAGTGAGAGAGAGTGGGGTTGGCCGGGGAGGGCTTCCAGGACGCTGTAATCTCCGCATCTGTCGGATTAGACTCCATCCATCAAAGTGGTGGGAAAAGACTTTCCTTTGCTGGCCTCTGATCCAGCCCCTCCTCCAGCCCAGAGGGAGACACCAAGAGTGGGGACAGAATCCCATTCAAAGGGGGAAGAAAGGGAACAATGGTTATTCAGGCTTTTGCTGGGGTCGTAACCCACTCCCCACCCCATCTCCAAGCTCCTTAATGACCCAAAACATCAACATGCAGAGGCTTGGAGGGGAAAGCAGAACAATCCCCTATTCAGTGCCAGGACCTTGCAGGACTGCAGGGGTGCAGGGGTGCAGGGGGCAGGAGGAAGGGAGGAGTACAGACAACAGCTCCCCCCACTTCCTTTCTAAGTGGCCTGCTTGCCAAGAAACAAAGAGTTTGGGGCTTTGGCGCCAACTGTGTGGGTTTTGCTCCTTTCAATTTTAAGATTAAGCTTCAGGTTCCTCATCTGCAAAGTGTGACTCTTCAAACAGCCACCTGCAGGATGGAGTTGAGGATTAAACAAAACGAAGACCATAAGGCACTGGTCAGCACCTGCCTTGTGGCAGAAGCTCCACGTCAAGTGATTATGTCTAATCAACCCTGAGAAGTGATGGAGGAAGTATGGCCCTGGGGTGTGTGTGTGTGTGTGTGTGTGTGTGTGTGTGTCTTCAGATAGTTCATATCTGCACAACCCTCATTAACTCAGATGCTGTAATGGTAAGAACCTGCTCTGCCAACCTAAACATAAGTGGTTGGAATCCACCAGCTGCTCTGCGGGAGAAAGATGGGCAATCTCCTCCTGTGCTATTTACTGCTCCCGAAAGCCCCGAGGGTCAGCTGGGGCTTGGTCCTGACTTGATGGTACACAGCTACGACATTACTTAGGCAGCCCCTTCATTTAAGCCCATCCCTTTGTATCTTCCGGGCTACCATATGAAATTTCCTTTACAAAGGGGGAAATTCTATTTGGGGGAGGATTACGTGCACAATTACACACTGTTTAGGGTGGTTGTTGTTGTTGTTAGGCTCTGACTCACAAAGGTGCCCTGTGAGATCCTGCCCACCCTCACAATCTCCGCCTGAGCCCACTGCTGCGGCCACCGTGTCCACTCAGCTCACTGAAGGCCTTCCTTTCCTTCACTCACCTGCTGCTTGTGGAAGCCTGAGGTCTTTCTATGATATTCACATTAGCAAGGACCACACACACATCACTGTCTCTCTCTCATGTGATTCTTGTTGTTGTTTATGTTGAGTTGGAAGTGACCCACAGCTGACCCTCAAGTAGGTTTTTTCAGAGGCAGTAAATTGCACAGGCCAAGAATGTCCCTTCCTCTTGAGGAGTCCACTAGTGGATTCAAACTGTGGACCTTTGGGTTGGCAATGCAATTCCTTACTACTTCCAAGCCACCAGAGCCTCTTCACACCTGTCCTTGCAATGCCCTGGTTCTCCAACACCTTTCCAGGTTTATCTCTCACTATTCCCTCCATTTTTCTCTCGTCCTGCCACACAGATGGCCCCTCATCCTCATACCTTCCTCCATGCACTGCTTCGTGCACCCAAGGCCTCACCTCTCTGGGAGTTTGAATCCACCAGCTGGTCCTTTAGAGAAAAATGGGCAATCTCCTCTTGCGTTTTACAGACTTGGAAACCCAGTGGAGTGTCAGCTATGGGTTGGTTCTGACTTGACAGCAATGAGTTTTCAGATGTCTTCTCTGACCCCACCAGAACTCTTCTGCTAATCTTCCCTCCTCTGCCTTACTTCCCCCCTTCAGAATCTTCCTCGTCATTCCCTTTCAGTGCCATTTGACATCCATTCCTGGAAACAGCCTCTAAATCCCCATTTAACACACAAGAGATGGAAGTCAGGAAATCTACGGTGCATGTCTTGCTACTCCCAATGCAATCAGCCCTCCTGGGCGGCTGTGTCCTCTGAGGGGTGTTCTCTCAAGGTGCTCCATGTTCCAGAGCCTCGCACGGTGGTGGTTATGATCGAAAGTCTGGCTACTATCAAGTCAATTCCAACCCCTTAGGATCCCAAGTGTTAAATAACAGGGACACTCCACGGGGTTGTCTTCACTCTGATCTCAATAGGAGCAGATCACCAGGCCTCCTCTTCTGTGATGTTCCTGGGTGGGTTCAAACCACCAGCCTTGGAGTTTGCAACCAAGAGCAAACTGTGGACTGCAATCAAGAGAACCATATGGAACAGTTTTACTCTTTTCTTTTTTAAAATCCGAAATGTTAATAAATTGCAAGTAAATACATTGCTGTTGTTGTCAGGTGCCATCAAGTCATTTGCAACTCATAGCGACCCTATGTATAACAGCCCTAAACTCTGCTCTGTCCTATGCCAATCTCACTGTCTCCGACACACCCACCCCAGTTACCCCAGTCACTGAATCAATCCACCTCACAGAGGGCCTTCCCCTCCTGCGCTGTCCCTCCACCCTCCCAAGCATGATGCCCCTCTCCAACGACCAGTCCCTCCTCGCAACATGTCCAAAGCATGTTAGATGGAGCCTCAGAATCCTTGCTCCAAGGAGCAGCCTGGTTTAACCCACTCCAGGTTGAACCTGTTCGTTTCCTTAGCAGTCCACTGTACATTCAATACTCTTCTCTAGCACCA